TAAAGTTGGAGGAGGTTTTAAACTGTGTCTAGAATTTTGTCTCTCAATCTCTCCCAAGTGCATAACATGTGGAATCTGGATTGTTTATTGTATATGAGCTGATATTGGTATGTGGTGAAAGCTGAAAGCTGAAAGCTCATGCGGTATAATTTTCAAGAGCCCGTGACAGAGTGGGGGCGTCTGTTTTTGTTTTCCTTCTCTCTAGCCATTAGCTTCCCTAAAATGTGCTGAGTATTTTCTACATTAGGATATGCATATGTTCTTTGAATTTAGCAGAACATGTTCCTAAATTTATTTAAGATCTTAAGCAAAAGGGCGTCATAGAGACTAGTGGCATCTTAGAAGTGTGTACGATAAAAAAAAAAAAGGATATAGAGAGATATAAACGTATTTGATTGAAGAAATATTGATATAAAATAAATATATTTCTATAATACTTTCCCAATATCTATCTCTTTCGTTCTTTCCATAAGAAACCCTGAGCTGTAGTGGAGTTGGAATGCAACACTGAGCTCCTAAATTCTCTTTTCATACGAGTTACAGGAATGAATGCATGGAAAGCTTCCCTTTTCAAGAAATTACTTTCCGAGCTACAATTCTGGGTGTCTTTGACGATATCTCCTGCATCGCTTGATTTTTACAACATCAAAAAAGAATAGACAGCTTTCAGCACCAATGTTGCAAATCACCTTTTCAATCAATGATTAAGCTTTGCACCAATGGGTGCCTTTTGCTTGATGGAGAAAATCCAACAACATGCAGTTATAACTAGATTTTTGTCCTTTTTAATTGTAACAAAAAATATATAAAAGCGTCATTAACATTTTTTTAAGTAAACAAAATAATAATAATAATAATAATAATTATTATTATTAACAATGATATATATTTTAGCCACTAAGCTGGTTACATGTTAAATTATTTTTTTTCTTTAAATATTATGATGGTAGCCAACCTTAGTTAACATATAAAATCTTCCACTCGAATCATGATATTATAATAATTTTTAAAAAAAATTAATCAAATTAAATTATAAAACTTAATTTTCAATCAATATAATATCATAAAGATAAAAATATATATATATATATATATATATATAAACACGATAACTCAAGTCAATTAGGATAGACTTACATGACTCGTGACTTGATTCATGAAAATAGAATAGTTGTATATCAAGCAAATTAAAAAATAAATTTGAAGTTTAATTTTCAACTAATCCAATATTGAAGGACAAAATAAAAAAAACAATAATTTAAAAAAAAAAAACTCGAGTATACTAGATTAACTTGGAAAACCTTGTTTTGTTTTGTGAGATTATTTTTTATTTAATAACATGATAATAAAAATAAGTGCTTGCAAAATTGAGGACCAATCAAATGCTAGTATATTTGTATGATACTATGATGACACTATAAAAAGAAAACTGAAAAAAATAGAAATTTTAATTCAAAATCAATAAAATATTAAAGGATAAAATTTATAAAAAAAAATCAAGTAAAACCTAACTTATAATGATGAAATCAAGAAATAAAGTCAAGAAGAAATCAAAGAGAGAGAGAGACAGAGATAGAATATCTAAAAAAAAAATCATCCATATCAACCTGAGTTAATCTAACAATCTCACAACACAAGTTAAGGGACCAAGATTACTTTAAAGAAAGAAAATAAAAAAAAAAACCACAAACTATAATCCTTAACTAACATAATTCTCAATCAACACATTATCCAATGATGAAATAAAGGGAAAAATTAATTTTAAAACAAAGGACCAAAAAAAGGGTCAACCCAGGTAAACTAATCAAACCATCGACCCAAGTCGTAAGAATCGGATAACCACATAGAAAATATGTAAAAAAAAAAAAGATTTTGAAGTCTAGTTCCTAGTCAATCCATGTTAAATAACAAAATAAAAATAAAAAAATCAACCTAAAACACCTATATATATATAAAAAAAAAATTGATTCAACCTAGACTAACTTGAAAAACTTGTGATCCAGATTATAAAATAGAGATAAAAACATTGAAAGAAAATTTTTAAAAAATAGCTAAACTCAATTCCTAACTAATCAATTGTTAAAGGATAAAAATGAAAAATTTAAAAGAAATAAAAAAGAATTCAAGTCAATATAGGCTAAACTTCTGAAATCACGATCCAGATCATAAGACTAAGATTACTCCATAGAAAGTAAATAGCAATTATGAAAGATAAAATATAAAAAAATTATATTTTAAAAAGTACACAAAAAAATAACAATTAAACAAACGAGGACCAAAATTGATATAGAAAAAAATTAACAATGCAAGACACAAACACTAAGTGAAGGAGGGAAGAAAAAGAAAAAGAAAAAGAAAAGGAATAGTTGGTGGCACTTCGTGAACCCAATAATATTATATATAACCCAAAAGTTAGTATCATAGCTCATTTCATAAATGGAGGAGGTTGCATACACCTTAACATCACGATAACTCTTCTTATTTGATGACATGTGTATTGTATGTATTAATATTCTTCTTCTTATCATTTTACTTCATCCCTACTCTGGTTTTATTTTCTAATTGTTTTAGATCAATAACCTTAATTGTTCTAGATCAATATAATTAAATTTTATATTATAAAATCAAGAATTAACTACATGCGAAGATTGTGAGACTCTTATATATAAATAACCAAAATAAATTATCAAGCTCAATTTCAAATAAATTCAATATAAATTAATTAAATTAAAAAAAAAAAGTTAAGTGATAAAAAAATAAGGATAAACATTTTTCACTACCTATCTGATTCAGTCCTAGTATTAGCAAAATAATAATAATATTTGTTCAATCTTCAAATTCAATCCCTAAGATTTTAATTGTTTTAAATGAATAAAACTTCATTTAATCTCAACAAACCAAGTATTGACTGAGCGAATGGCCAATAAAACTTCATTTAATCTCGACAAACTAAATATATCTGCAAGAAACTTATACTGGAGCAGTGCAGAAATTCTCAAGAGCTACAGCAAATGGTCAATTTGTGCAATCAAAACTAGCTGAAATCAACAAATGAAATATCTTCCCAAACTCTCCTCCAGAAAATGTTGGGGGTAATTTTCCTTTTCAAGAGACAACAAGGCGACCGATGCTTAGGGAAACGCATCACCTCAGCCCTTCCATGCGAAAAACAAGACCAGCCCTTTGATTACTTTATTAATTAATAAAGTTTCCAATCTTCCTCCAATAGATCTTGAGCTCCCACTAATAAATAAATCTAATCCTACCTGACACTGATTAAAGTGACGAAGAAAACATTAGTCTATTGCAGCAACTTGAGGCTTAGTGGAATTACAAGACCAACACAAACACAGAGAGATGAGAGTAATTTAAACCATTGTTTGATTAAACAATCCTCAAAGCATCATGGAGGTTGTTTTCAGGGATTTTTATACGTGTGCTTGTTCAAAGAACCCGACGTCTTCTGTAAGCAAAAATTTTATTTTACATTTTAAAATTGACATATAAATAGAGAAAACATAGAAGCTGTTGTTAATATTAGTCGCTGTACCATACTAGACATGTTCTCCTACGAATAATGCGAGTTTATTATGGTTTTCGTCACTTCCCTAATACTCAGTTGCTAATGAGATTCAGAACTCAGAAGTGGGTCACATTGTTGTATTATCACAGAGTTGCTTCGGAGAAAAAACAAATCTTTTCACTTTTTTTTTTTTACCAGGTATCTTACAAGCTAATTTTTCAATTACAGAACTAAAAATCCCTTGCCAGTCCAGTTTTAGACCTTCAATCCGCATTCATACTTGTATTGTAATAAAAAGAAAGTAAACTCCTTTCAAGTAAAAAGACAGAGAGTGTGTGACAAGAGGGCATCCACCTAACACCCAGCCTATTGTCTAACAGCTACAAAGCAAATGTTTAGAAAGATCATTTTTTACATCAGAAAAACGATCTAAAATCAAGAAAAATTCAATTTTCTTATAAAACACTGTTAACGCAATTCCAAACTGGAAAACTAGAGCAAAAATGAGGAAAGCAAGCAACTAGAGTTTCGATAGAAACATGACCCATGTGGGTTTTGATTATTAGATGTTTGAAAACCACTCTGAAAAATCATTGAATGTTGAGATAGTGACTTTTGCAACACTTGGAATTGAAGGGCCCCTGACTCATATATAATATTGTAGCATTTGATTACGTGTTGGGTGCATTACATGCAAGAGGAGGAGAATTTTCAGACACAAACATGACAAAACTCAACAAAACCACGTTATTTTAACTGCTCATGATTGCTAAGAAACTTTCAGCATGTTATGCTAATGTTAGGTGTCTTTGTATTTTTTGCCGCTCAAGTTTGTGACATACAGTTGTCTCTGGTTATTTATTATTTTGAAAACACAAAAAGTCAGCTAATACCATAGCATACCTTTCTAAGGTTACTTCTCTAAAGCTTGAAGGCAATAAGGGAACCCTAGCTAATGCTACCAACAAAGACAGAGATGGAAACAATAATATAAGGGTTTACTCCAAGTAGGCATGTCCAAATTCATCCACAGCCATCATATGCGCACCGCCTTTTTGGATTTAATCAGCCAGCGATGCAGGCAATCAAGGGATTCAACAATTATATAGAGTAATACATCTAGGAAAGTATCCATTAGCTTGAGATTAAGATAAGGTTGTAGGTTTAAATCATGCAACTACCACAGAAAGCATTCAATCGGCAGAATCAAGATATTGCAATCACAAGAAATCCTAGCATCTAAAACTACCAATAAACAGGATCGTGGAATCTACGTTGTACTAAGCAAATAAACAAAATGCCACCACCAGAGTAGACAATTCAGAAACAAGCAACAAGGTTTTTAGCCATATTCTTCTTTGCAATGCAAGGAATCCAGTGAGGCCAAGTTCCAAGTTTCTAAATTTGTTTTCCATCACACTTCTATTATAATTTGCAACTACATATAAGATCTCCATCAGTGAGCGTATGCATGCTCATGAGTTCAAAAGATAACAAGTCAGCTATAAAAAGTATTTAATTAAGTTGCATCACGAACTATACACTAGAGGATATATTGTTTCACTGAAAAGGCAGGTGAGGGGTGTAAATACTGTTGTGCAAGGTTCATTGCTCTTTCAGGCCTTCGACACCATCATTACATTGACAGAACAGAACAGAGTCGCTTAAATTCAGGCATTACATAGCCGTGCTCAACCTAGATACATAAGAAATCTGAAAGCGTTAAGGCGGGCAAATTTTAGACACTGCTTCAAAACAGTAAGACAAGCAAAGCTCACTAGAGGGAAGCTACTATAACCTAATTAGACACTATAAAACAATTTGAGTAGACAACATTTTGCTCATCCTCCGGCGAAAATAAATTCGTGTCAAACAACTTTAGAACACCACATGTGTGCACCTTAACTGATAAGAATAATCGTAAGGAAGGGGAAAATAACCTCGTGTCATACACCTTTAGAACACCACGAGTGTGCACCTTAACTGATAAGAAAAATCGTAAGAAACTTAGAAGTATAATAGAACTTTTCGCACCTAAATGCCTCAATTAGTTACTGGTTAATGGTGAAGCAATGAAAGACACAAATGAGGATATCTAGAAATTCCAATAATCACTACATTGGATGAGAATTTCCTTGGTTTCTATCTTGGCTTATCACCTCATCTCCCTTATCACACTCCATTCAAGCCTATTGCCATATCAAGCACTCAAGAAGGTTAGAATTCCAATACATCATCTCTATTACTTCTTTAAATGCCTTGTCAGTAACAATAACGACATGGGGGGAAACACGAGTACTAAATCAAAGTTGGTACGCGGTAGGAAACATATTGCCATATCAAGCACTAAAGGTTAGAATTCTGGCGAGTTAACTTTTCATTTGAAGTTCTCATTTGTTGTCAAGTACAGAACAAAATATCACCATCTTAAAGAGACACAAAAGCACATTGTTACAATCATAAAATCAAATTACCCAGCAATATCCATTTCCGAAACAAATAGCACCCTACTAGATTGTCTAATTAGATGTTTTGTTCTACAAGGATTAGATAGACACAAGCAGAGGAGACTCACAAGCTAGACAAATCATATTATAAGTCATAAACAGAGCCACCAGCAATAGTACCAAATTTATTGACACAATACCACCTTAGTAATTGAGTTGGGACCTCTGATAAACTGTGAGTCGATAAAAAACCAACCTCCCTGCTCGTCATATTGTTATTGCTCAGCATCTCCATGCTGAAGCTGACATAAGCTCTCTACGCTGCCAAAAAAGCACAAGCAAAGCCTGCTGCTTTTCCACGTGAAATCCCCTCACTGGAGTCCTCTTCACCACACATTCTGCCTGAGTTTCGGTGAAGTTACTGAAAGTTACGGGAGAAAACCCGGCAGATGCAAAGATTGTCTTCCAATTTGGCATTTTGTCTGTAGCACGAAGACGCCCCAGCACAGTACTTTCAATCCTAGGCTGGAGCAAAAACCTCTCAATCTTGTTCACATCATCCGTAGTTGCATTAACAGCATCCAATGATTCCAATAGGTGTGTATAGGATTGGAGGGCATGGAGGATATGTTGTGGGAATGGAAGGTCACTTCTGTCACACCCTCGGTCCAAAGACACCACAATCCTTGGAGAAAGTTGCTTTATAAAGCGCAGCAGTGACGGTAGTGCAGATGGTTGATTTGCCGAGCACCAAATAGGGAAATTCACCACAACAGCCTCATGTTCACTTGTTCGGAAAAAGGGGAGAGAATAACAATGTTGCTCCAAAGAATCAAAGTTAATCACATCAAGTTCAAAACTGAGACCAATCTCATCAGCAAATTGAGTTAAGTTATCGCGCATAAGACTAAGTTCAACGGGATGGTGAGTCGAAGGAGAGGCAAAGGCAGTGGTTTTCAATGATCGGACACCTCTATTCCGGGGAAGTTCCTGCATGAAAGAGGCCCATTGAGCACCGAATCCAATATCGAAGTCCACAATGTGAATCCTATCTGCATCGTCAACTGCTTCAAGGAGGGCCTGATTGCAGGTGAAGTTGACAAATTGGACAAGTGGAGAAACCTCAGATAAGACTTTGTAAGCACTCATTTTGAAGATGACATCGAATGGGGTGGGGCTCCTAGGCGGTGGGGCAGTGACTGAGTTACTATTCATGAGAAGGAGCAATTGAAGAGCCTCCTTGAAGTAGAAAGCTGCTCTATGGAGAGGCTTCCCAGTTGGGAAGAGCTGTTGATTGAGCCGCGCCAATATCCCTTGCGCGTGTGAGAAGTTCCCAGTCCCTACCAACTCAGCTGCCTTGTAGAGCTGGTCCAACAAAGCATGCTGGTGCTGGTGCTGGTGCTGGTGATGTTGAGTTCCTAAATCTTCCTTCTTCACCACCAACGGCTTCTGTTGAAGTTGTTGGTGAAGAAACTGAACTCTCTGAGGAAACCCCAGTTGCTGTTGTTGGTGTTTTCTTTGCAAAAGTTCTTGCCCAGGATCAGAGAATGGTAGTTTTGGGATTACATGAGAGATTGGGTCCATGCCACCAGAGTTGTGGCGCTTGAGTTGGGAATCGAGAGGGCGGTTTTCTTGCTGATAAAATGGTAATTGCAAGAAAAGGTTGGGATTTCGAATGCGTGGATTATGAGACTGTTGCTGGTTCATCAATATCTGTGGATTTAGTATGAGTGGCTTCTCCTCTGGGACCTCAATTTGTTGCAGCTGATTTTGCTGATAAACCATACCAGGAGGTAAAGAAAATGGAAGTGAAACACTGTTAGTTGGAGAACTAAAAACTGGGCTTTGCACACTTGAGTCGTTGCTGCCAAATCCAACATTTTTGTAGTTAATCAAACCAGAAGAAGAGCCAGGAGCAACTAAACCGGACCCAATATTTGAAACCCCAGGACCAGGAAAAGGAGCCAAATTAGTTCCAATGCTTGACACGCCACTTGGAATTCCACTTAAGGACTCAAACCCAGGTCCTTGATCAACAATCCCCAATCCACCAACACCAGAACCACCGCCAACATTGCCATCAAATTCCAGCTGACTGCTTCCACTTTGCAACAACTGCTTTAGCCCAAACTGTGTGTCATCCACATCCCCAGCTATCCACCTCAACAAGGATTGTTCTTGGCTTGGCTCTGACAGCATATTCTCCCAATCTTCTAGTCCAAGTCCACATCTTTCTCCTGTTGAAACAAACTCTAGTCCGCTTGGGAATGGCTGCAGCTCTGTTGCCCATTCATCTTTCCTTTCATTGTTCAATGGGTTCACTACTTTATCTGTTGCCGTGATGGTGGCGGTCTTGTCGCTGGTGTTTCCACCGGCGCCGCCGTTTGAGGAGGAGGAGAGAGTCGAAACTGATGTAGGTGGGCTTGGACTTCTTCTCATATGAAGAACTGAGTTAGGTTCTTTGCTTGCAAAGCTATTCACTTCAAGAAGTTGTTGTCGTTGCCTTTGAGTCCAAGTTTCTTGTTGAGAACAAACTGAAGCAAAACCATCAAAATCTACACCCCCCTTGGCCTGCAAACGAAAGGGCATGCCTCTTATAAAATACCAAGAAGCCTGAGGTGTTTAGAGAGAAGTCGAGAAAAGGCCCGATGCAGTGGTGAAGTGAAGGATTCTCAATGGCGTTGGCTCTCAGGTGGGCTAACACTCAGATTTAATTTAATGAAAAAAAAGGGAAGAAGAAGAAGAAGAAGAAGAAAGAAACTTTCTTGTTCTTTAACTGAGATTTTTTAACACAATATCATATCTCATTGCATGCCATGAATCTCTCTTCTTCAACCCACCCATTACAACAAAATATCTTTTGTCACTAGCTCTTGACCACCCACCAATCCTTTCTCATTCTCTTGGTGAGCTCCATGTTTTTTTATCTAATTTTTCCCTTCTCTTCAACTCCATATCATTCAATCTATCTCTCTGTATTTTGTTGTTGTGTAGTTGTGGTTGTGGTTAATTGCTCTTTGTTTCTCCACTTCTTCTAGCCCTTCTGTCTTAACAGTAATAATATACCATCATTCTGTGTTTGCAATGGATGCGTGCATCATAAAAAAGGCAATAAAGTGTCTCTCTCTCTCTCTCTCTCTCTCACACACATTTATTTATTTTTATATTTTAAAAATATTTTTTTAAAAATTATTTTTTACTTTAAATTAATATTTTAAAAAAAATAATTATTT